CCGAAAAAGCCGGCCCGGCCCAGCTCGCATTTGCAGCTTTTTGGCTTGTAACTTTGTTCACAAATATGATACAGTGTTTCAAATACTATCATTTTGTAGTGCTCCTCGAGTTCTACCATATCTAATTTAGTTGGTCAAAAAATATCAATCCTAAAAGAAACTATGACAGCCGCTTTGGGCCCGTCCGCAAGTACGATTTTGATAGCCCTCAGAATTCGGAACTTCAACCAGTTTGTTTTCTTGAGTTTTTATAGTTTTCAAAGAAAAAAACTTACTTTGCGCCAAACTTTGTGTACAAAAAGTGTAGCGGAAATGTTCCCAAAAACGTTCCAATTGCTACGGACCATAAAATATAGGCTTTTTCATTGGAGTCGTAGTCATAAATTCCATGGAAACTCGGAAAACATTTTTCGGAATGTGTGAAAATTCAAAATCTAAAATTCTTACCCCATTGAAATTGGTATAACCATCTGATAAATCATTTTTCATACAAATAAATGTGAAATTAATAATTAAATAATTTGAGCATAAAGATGAAAGACATAAAAATCCAATGATCAGTATGAGAAACCTGAAAAAAATCTAGGTATTTTGGAAATTTTCAACTTTTCCGATGTATCTGGAAGAAAAATTGACAAAAACCTAGAAAACTCTTGAAAAAAACCGAAAAAAAAAGTGAAAAAGAGCGAAAAAGTTTTGAAAGTTTGAATTCGCGCGCTTTTACTCACCGGGCGGCCTAGAAAAAACCTCGTCCCTAAGGGCTTTCAGCGTATTTTTCGATGCGTTTTTCTCGCCGAAGGAATTTTTTTTTGAATTTTTTCTTTATTTTTATGTCAATCTACATGCATTTCTGCACATTTTGATGCAATAAAAAATTTCACCGTACACCACCTTTAAAATTGTTCTGAACATCGAAAATAAAGAATCATCTAACTACTCTTCTTATTACATCCTTGAGCTTTATTGCATCTTCGAAGATTTCAAGCCCCCTTGTCATGAAGAGCCCAAAAATTTAGGGGTCATTAGACAAACGTTTTAGGATTCTAAAATTCTCAATTCGGGTGGACCATACCTGACAAAATTGGACTTTGTACCCCCGAATTGTGATTTTTGCATACCTATATCGCTTTTTACCCCATTTGAAACTGTGAATTATGTTTCGTAGGAAATCTCTTGTTTGTGGCAATTTCAGAAAATCAAAGTCTAGGACAACGAGTGCAAAATTAAGCTCAACTAAAACAACTTCTGAGTCCTACGAAAATAGTCCAGAATATTTCGAATCGTCTGAAAATTTTAGATTCGATTTTGTAATTGGCCTTTTTAAATCACATGTTTGGCGACCAGGGAAAAATGAAACCAAGAGCAAGAGCAAAAAGAAATAGAAAAGAAACAAGAACAGCAGTAACACTAAGAGGGGGACCACTAGACCATTAGCAAGTGGTCAAGGTCAAATACAGTTGCACCCTCTCGATGTGGCAGATGGAAAACAAAAAGGAACCCTTGTGGTCATACTTGTAATCCGGGAATTTGCCGGGCCTTCGCGGGCCCTGCCATAAATTCTTTCAGTATCAATGTTTTTGAATCAACTCAATCAGATATGATAGAACTCCACGAGTGGTGCGTAACGGTATTATATTGTATCTTGTCTATGAACAGAGTTACAGAGCAAAAGAAGCAAAAAAAAAAGCAGACCCGGCCCGGGTCTACCGGGCCCTGCGAGATAAGCCACTTTATGATCTGTAACTTTGTTCATAGATAAGATACAGTATTCCAAATAATACCTTTTTGTAGTACTCGTGGAGCTCTATCATATCTGATTTAGTTGGTTCGAAAATATTGATTCTGAAAAAAATTATGACAGGGCCCGCGAAGGCCCGGCAAAGGCCCGGATTACAAGTATGCTTGTGGTGATTTTCCAAAATTCCTATATCTGATTCAATGGCCTCACGATCTACCCCGCAACCCTCCTAACACTTGTTTAGACAGTGCCTGCAGACGATGTGTTGACCCGAAAGGCACCCTGGTTTGCCACGTAGCGGGTACCCGTCAATCAAATACACTGGTTGATAATCCCCACCCGTCCATCTATAACCTGCCAAAAGAGCCTTCTCTATTGAACAAGAAACTTTATAGATGGTCCATTCGCCTCAAATAAAAAAGAAACCAGCACAACTAGTACCACAAAAAGAGTTTTCATTGGACTTTTGGCAAGCGGTCAAGGTCGAATATGGTTGCACCCTCACGGTGTGACAGACGCCGAGAGAGTGCGAGAGTGTGAGAGACGCAGACAGTAGTAGAATGTCCCCCTCGTCGCCCCCAGTCTACCTTTCATTGTTCTTTCAAGATGACCTAACAGAATGGACGTCTCAATTTATTGATTTTCTTCAAAGTTCTAATATTCCTAACCGAAACTTCTCGAAAACCTTCTGGATGGATTTCGAAGTTTTGGTTCATTTGATTTTTCTGATTATTCTGATATTCTATGTTTAAAAATGAGGTAAGTTTTTTTTTTTTCTGTCAGCTTCATAATGGTTTCATACGAGCTGGCCACCCGCGGCTATAGTGGACCCCAATTTTCTAGAGGAATGCAAGATATTTTCAAAATTTCCAGCATTTTAAAGATTTTTAACATTTAAAATTTTCAACAATTTCACCAACTTTTGAGCATATAGTTTGAAAATTTCGATTTTCAATAGTAAGCTGCACATTGTGTCGAAAAACCAACTGATTTATTAACTTTTTGGTAGAAAAAAACTTTTTCGTCTCAAGTTATAACAATTCTAATCATTGTCAATGTCCAGCTCCGAGATACTCGAACGGAAAAAAAAGATAGTCGAAGCCGGGATTAGAGGACTCGAAAAAAGAGGTTAGCACTTGGGTTCAAGCGAGGGGGTTAGAAAGCGCGCCCCAGTAAATTTTTCAAAAATTCTCAATTCGCTGCCGAACTTCGTTGGCTGAGTATCACAGTTTTAAACGATGAGCGAGAATACGCGCGTTGCAACCCGTTGATTTTTAAGAAACAGATCATGATCTAGATCAAACCCGCGTTCATTTTAAAATTATTAAATTTCTTCTGGCCTACGAGTTTGCTGGGGGGCTTTTTCTGACCCCCTCGCCTGAACCCAAGTGGGTTAGTTCTTGTTTTTCTCTCTTCTACAGAGGATATTCAACCAAAGAAAAATTGTGTTTTTCAGAATAACAAAGAACGACGCAAGTTGGCAAATTGGTCTCTTGGAACGGTAAAAATAAGCAATCCCAGAAACTAGAATATTTTTGAATTTACAGTCGTCGGCGGCTGTTGAAAACGAACCGAATGACAAAAAACACCAAGAGGAAGTTTACGGTGGGTTAAAAAAAAATCAATTTTGCATTTTCTTAAAGGTGGGGGGACATGAAAAAAATAATGTTCTCGAAATTCCGTTCAAAGATGCCTCTCGAGGAGTTGAACTTGTGAAGGCGATGATTGAGGGTGCGGAGCCGCTACCGACTGAGCCACGCGGGCAAAGAGAAAGCGGACGCCCGATTGCATACATAAAGATGAGGACGACAGCTGTACGCAGAGTGACATTAAGCGTTGTACACTGTGACGGTAGAATGCATACTCTAGCTACAAAAAAACTACGAAAAATCTCCTGTCCCCCCACCTTTAAGTTCCTAACTGAATTACATAAACTGAATACTCTGTTGAAATGCCCCTCTCCCCCCGGATTAAGCTAGAGTTGATATATTTTGTTTCCTGTGAAAGATATTAAAATGTAGTCAACTGGTAATTTTTGTTTTTCATAGTATCAATAATATTTTATCAGTTGACCTTTTTTTGATATCTTACAATTAGACAGGAAGCGAGATAAATCGGCTCAATGTTAAGGGATCATATTCTCACTAGCGCTTAATGACTTGGACCTTCTAATGAATATAGAGTTAAGAATTGAATATTCAAATGTTTTCATCTTTTTCAGTGGAAAATTATCAAATTCGAAGGCCCAAAAACGCATTCCAGAGTTTTTCAATTTGTATGAAACATTTATTAGTAACTAATCAAAAATAGGGCTTCAGCTTTGTAGTTGACAACTTTTTGTACGGTTTCTTATAAATGATACCAGTCGGTTGGAGCCCCCTGCCGGGGAATTTAAGAATTTCCTGAGTGCCCGAAATTTTCCATGTTCCTAAAGTCAGAATTCCTGGGTATCGTATTTTTCCTAATAGAACCCCACATCTATTTGAAGACCACCTATGATAAAATCCCACCCTGGCTAGGCAGTTTGTTTCATTGGTTATTACAGACTTATTTTTTTTTCAATTTTCTGGTAATTAATTGTTAAGTCTTGTCGGTGTTTTTGAGAAAAAAAGATATCCGGTTCTCTGAATTCCCGAGTTTCTACATGACAGAATACATGTTTCTTGAAAAGAGAATACAATTTTTTTTGATTTTCTAAAGCCTCCCATTTCTAACCAAAAATCCCTAATTTTCAAATTTCTGCAATTCTGTTTTTTAAAGGGGGACTCCGGTCAATTTTTTTATTGCATCAAAATGTGTTAAAATGTATATATTCTCAGAATATTATTGCGAAAAAATTCGAAAAAAATCCGAATTCCATAAAAAACGCCGTTGAAAAGAAAAAAATTCAAAAAAAGGTGCCGCCGAGGGACGAGGATTTGAATTCCCGCGCAGTGAGAAACCTAGGCTACGGCGCCTGAGTTTTGGATAAATTTGTACAAAAAAGTTGTCTATTACAAAATAAAATTTATATGTTTGTCAAGTATACTCAAAAATGTTCAGACAACTCGAAAAATTCTGGTCCTCTTTTGTAGGGCTTCAAAGTTGACTATTACATAACCTACACTGTGATGAAATGTCGTCCCTTTATTTTGGTTCCTGTGAAAGATATCAAAAGTAGTAAACTGACAAAACATTTTGGCTACTATAACAAGCACTTTATCAGTTGACAACTTTTTGATACTTTCCACAGTAACCGAGAACAATACGCTCAAAGTTAGCAGTGTGCAGGCGGCGGCGTTCTGTTGTTTTTCCATTCTATCAATGTATTTTTGCAGAAGACTTCTGGCAAAAAATTGAGATGGACAGAAAATGTTGGGTGTTTTGAGTTTGAGATGATTCGCAACTATGTCGATGTATTCTTCCTTCCAGCTGACGTGAGATCCACTAAAGGTTTCAAATGGATATATTTTTATAATTTAATTCTTTTAATTCTAATATCTCACCAATAAAATATATCTAATTAACCAAATAAAATCTTAAAAATGAAATAAACGGAATATAAAGAAAGCAAAATGATCTCCAAAGACTTTTTTATGTCCCATGTCTATTGTTCTCGGTCCAATTATCTTTGATTATTGTATGTTTCCGCCTGCGTATTTCAATGCGCATTTCACCCTTAAATCTTGTGCCTATTTTTCCCGCATTTTCCATTGCTCCGATTTTTTTCATCATTTTTTATGTGCCGCATTTTGCAAACACTGAACTTTCCTCTTTTTGCCTGTTCTTTTTCATTTGTATGTCTCCATAATGATTGTTTTAACTCCAATGTGTTTCCCAAAAATAAATGCGCCAAAAAACATTCAAAATCTCTTCCTAAACGTTTCAGAACTTTGCCCACGATTTTGTTTTGAAACTTTTTTTGAAAATTATTTTTCCCGCGCTTTTCCCGCTGGAATGCAGGCATCGCTGAGAGTTTACTCGTCGAGACCAGCGGTAATCTTACTGTAGTATTAAAATTGTTTGAAAACATTCACACGACATATAAAAAACATTTCTTCATGGATTTCTTCTCTTCGGTGTACAACCAATAATTAACCTAACTCAATTCGGCATCTCTGCCTTTGAAGCATTTGCTGAACAACAGGTAAAAAAATGACTGAAATAAAAGACAAAATTTTACTAAAACAAGGGCAAAACTGGTGAAAAATTGATAAATCCTAATTTAGGCATTATATTTGTAGGCCGCCCTATATTTGCACTTTGAGCTCAATTATCTCGGTTATTGTAAGTGATAGCAAAGTATTGTCAACTGATAAAATACTGGTGATATTATAACAAACATTTTATCAGTTGACAGTATATTGTTATCTCTTACAATAACCGAGATAATTGATGTCAAAGTTGACGGTTTGGGGGGCAAACAAAACGGTATTTCCTCTGGTTCCCTCCCCGTTTGACTTGGAGAGAAGATTAAGATAGTCTGGGTTAAAATTCAAAAGGTAAAAGTTTTATTGGATTTTTGTGATACTGATAGTAGATAACCGTCAAGAACTAAAATTTCCATTTAGATCTAAGTTTCATGTTTTTCCTGAAACACTGATATTTTATTCAACTCCTAGTTTTTGCAAAAAAAAAATACGCAGAATATTGAAATGCAACATTCATTCCATACAAATCACAACATAAAAATGATCACTTTGGAGGCTGAGCAATGACCTCCGCATCAGCCACAATACTTCCTTTTTTATCAGTGATATCCATGAAGTATCGATACATGTATCTCGTCTTGTTTCTCAATGCTGGCGATGGTGGTAATGACAATACAATTCGATTGTATCCTTTTTGATCCGCCTGACAAGTGTGCCGGAATTCCACGACTGGCTCCCACATTGGAGCTCTCGCTTGCTCACGTTCGTAGAATCCGGATACTGGAAAATTGAGGGGATTTTGGTATGAGGGATTGAACCAAACTGGGTGTAGTTCGTTATTTCGGAGTGTCGTAGTATAAAAATATTGTTTTGGGCATACTTGTAATCCGGGCCTTTGCCGGGTCTTGGCGGGCCCTGCCCTAATTTCTTTCAGAATCTATATTTTCGACCCAACTAAATCAGATATGATAGAGCTTCACGAGTACTACAAAAAGGTATTATTTGGAATACTGTATCTTATCTATGAACAAAGTTACAGATCATAAAGTGGCTTTTCTCGCAGGGCCCGGCAGGCCCGGGGCGGGCCTGCTTTTTTTGCTTCTTTTGCTCTGTAACTCTGTTCCCGGCAAAGGCCCCGGATTACAAGTATGGTTTCGGGATTTTCTGCGATCACCTGCTGTGTTTTCTACGCCGTTCACCATGGTGGGATAACTTTTTCAGCTTGAGTTTTCTAGGTCACCGAAGGTCATGGCCTGGAAATGGCCTCTAATTCACCTGGTGTGCTCTCTAGGTCATTTATAATTGTGGTCGAAGTAATTGAAATTACAAAAGTTAGGCCACCAAACTAAATTGTCAAGAAAACCCACCAGGTAACTATCAAGCCATTCCTTGACCATAGAAGTTGATGGCCTAAGAAATTCAAAGTAACAAAATTAGGTCACCATTTTGAATGACTTAGAAAACACTACAAATGAACATCGGGCTACTACTAAGCTATAAAGCTTAGTGGCCTAGAAAACTCAATTTTCCAAAGTTAGGCCACTATATTGAAAATGCTTAGAAAACCCATCAAGTCAATATCAGACTGTTTCTAGGCCATTTTTTGGGTATTAAAAGTTGGTGGCCTAGAAAAGTCAACTTGCAAAAGTTAGGCCACCAAGCTAAATGATTTAAAAACACACCGGTAACATGTTAGATCAATTATATCGACTGGTGAAATGTAGAACTTGACAACATCTACAAAATAATCCAAAATTTGACTATGTTTGAATTCCAGGCTTTGAGTCAGTGATCGTGGAAAGTATCGTGATACAGTAAGTCAATTTGACTGTTTCGTGGTTTTGCTAAATTTGAATGTAGCCGAAATATATATTATTTTGTAGCTCTTGCTAAATTCTACCTTTTGATTTTTTATTCAAAACGAACTTCCAATTTTGAACCGAGTTATAGACCGATAAAGGGGCCGAGTGGCAACATCCGCTTCAGTTAAAAACCACTTGTTTCAATATAACCAAATTTGATATCATTTTGTAGCTCTTCTCAAGTTCTATATTTTCATATTTTTCCGGTCAAAAATTCCTAGATAAGCTAAGAAAACTCACACGAAACCGATGTGATTCCAATATTCGCAGCTCCACTATCCGTCACAATCGCTCCATCACGAATCGATCGATCCGGATCCTCGTCGCGGATGTTGAAGGTGATCTCGTAAGTGTATTGACGAGAATGACCACATAGGAATGACATGTTCAATGAAAACGTGTCATATTGGGCAGAGACATCTGGTGCCAGCAGGAATAAAAGTAGGAGAAGAGGAGAGAACATTCTGGGAAACTGAAAAAAAGGGGGAGAGAGGCGATGGTTTTATAATGGAGCCATAATTCGATTAAGACGGTTTTCGAGGGCCTGGGAAAACTACAAAAAATGGTAATAGACCATGGGAAAGATGATACAAGAGATATGGGAATTCGGCAAAAAAGGCCCATACTCCAGGGGTACATCAAAAGAGGGTACATCGAGGGTACATAATGTTCAAGGGGTACATTGACTGAGGGGGTACATAGTTTGAAGGGGTACATCTAGGTAATTGTCTCACTATCAGATGGTATATCTAGGCCAATCTCAGTCTAGATATATCAGCCTAATCTACTACCTAGATGTACCTTTTC